CCTCAAACATCTATAACTATGACTTTTAGGTACCTGATATGATGGTGTCTAATTATAAGATACCTTCCACGTAAGAGCTACTCTCGTTAGCATAATTGATTGGTTTATAAAAAGAAACACTGCAAGATAGGATCGCGTGGTTGAGCAATTGGAAATAAAATTGGTACCTATTTCTATTGATGTAAGCAAACATTTCATAGTAACTGATAGTTAGTTGTTTGCGCCTTATGTAAATACGGTGGATCTGTTGTTTGAGCCATAACACACTAATAATTTACTTATCATACATATGCCAATCATGTTATTAAGATATTATTCAACATCGAGGAGTACGTGTAAGTTTACAATATGGAATTATATAACATAACTAAAATTTTTAAAACGAGAAAGTAGGGTCCACAGTTATCTAAAAATTAGTTTATATCGCTTCTATATAGATCTCGTATAGATGCTTGACAAATAAATAAAAACTTTTATATTAGAAATTCATGTGGGTCAATCCAATAAACTTGTATCATAATAAGTGGTTAAAAGACCCTGTTGTATTATTAACTAAATAATACTTGATAAGTAACATTATTATAGTTAAGTATTATGTGTATCAATCTAAATTTGATTTACAAATACTCCAACTTTGTGATCGAATGTTAAGAACCTTTTAAGGATTTAAAAATTTAATTCACCGTCTTTGTGATCTCTATCACAACCTAATTCTTTTACAAAGCCATGGGGACCTTTTATTATGTAAAATAAAATGAATTATACATTAAATAATTACTAAGTAGCCGATGATAAAAAATGACACTCTAATAATTAACACAACATTATTGCATGATGATACTAATCTATTGCATCTTTTAGGATTAGGATAAGAGCATATTATTAAAAGTGCATAGGTAAAGTGAATTCATTCAATCCTATAAATGTGTAAGTAACAAAAAGATACTGAGATATAAAATATATATGAAATAATTGTATTTTTTACAAGGCACATACACTCGTCACAATTATATTACCAATATCTATATATGAAATCTATTATTCAGTACATGACAATACCTTTGCAGGTACCTAAAATGATAACAAAATCTTTGTTTGAAAACTAATTCTAGAAGAAAATTGAGATACTCTTTCCAGATTATTACCTACCTTGTTTGATTGATTATCCATCTAATTTTTTTTTTAAAAAAAAATGAAAATACTTCAATGTAAATTATCTATTTGCCTAGATTGTTAGCTAATGTGTTATTAACCGTTGATAAGCATAACACCTAATCTAGTTGGTCCCACTCCATCAAAATGAAAACAAATTTAGGACGATCAAATACAATACATGACAAAGCTTGCACCTAGAATCATTTAAACACTTGTTTGACATTAATGCTCAATCAAAAGACTACTTAAGGTACTAAAATACTTATTTAGAATGATACATGAGTACAACTCGACTTTATTGCAAACAGTCATGGGGTAGCATAAGGGCATGGACTTTAGAAATGATAGGCCCTTAGCATATAATTAATCATAGTAATTCATGGGTCCCGGGACATACACTTGAAGACTTGTATTAAGTACGATTATGTCATCTAATGATTACTTTAAGGTTATTAAAAACACATGTTGAGAGATTCACATGATATAACTAAAATAAATTCAAGTAGTCATAGGATGGTAAAATGATACTACTCTTATTAGGAATAATAACCAAAAAATTTATGACCATACAGGTCACTCACTACTTCAAATTCACTTAAATGCTACCAAAGATATTTGGGATGCTTATAAACAAATGAAACTTCAGTACAACTCAATGACATTATTATAATAAATAGTGTATTAAGAAACCAATTACATGAGATATATGTGAGACATTGTTATAATAGTCTTAATCCAAATATAATGTAATCACTATTCTTCAATAATAGCAGAGGCAAAGTTCTTATTCTATCATTATGTTCATTTGATATAAATATATGAATTCCTTAAAATGATAAATGTCTAAATAGATTATGTAATAGAAATATTATCATGATTAGATCATAATGGCGAGACATATTCTCTATAATATAGTTTGTTAAATCTTTAATCACATAATCATTTTGAATTGATTCTATTTTTATTCAAATAAACTAGTACACAATATTGTACTTTTTAAAAAGATATCGGATCTTTTTAAACATTATTTTGAATGGCATCATGCCAATTATGTATGTGTTGATTTCATAAAAAATACTATTACGACCCAAAATTAATTAGATCCTGAAATAAAATGTTTACTAGATGTCAAGCAAAAGTGTATACAGTAACAATTATAATTATTTATAGAATTAGTTTCACCATGAATGACTTATTTAGAAATAATTATTTTTTGATACTAAGATATAAGTGTTACTTTCACGTATCTGTCAAATTAGTCATTGATTACGATTTAAACTATGTGGAATCATTTTAATAATAATTACGGAATCATCACTCATAATAAAAAAAATACAATATCGTATAACAATATATTTTAGATAATTTTAAGAAACTACAGTTATGATATAATTAAAGGAGATATATCTCAAAGACAATATCCATCAAAATGATAAAATCATATAAATTATTCTTTATGAAAAACTTTACATACTTTAAATAATTCTAAGATACAATAGATAAAATAAGAATATCTATATGTTAAATTATTGTGTTCATGTCTAATAGTCTAGTTAGTATCTTCTAGGGATCATAACATAGCCCTGTATATTAATTGTAATTTGTAAGTCAATTGTGTAAATTGATGTATTCAGTAAAATCATATTGGGAATAAATTCGAATGGAATCGATATATATTATATAGATTGGCTTTTAAGTTTTAAAACTTTACATATTCGAGTTAATTTTAAAATAAAATACATGAAATGAGAGCATCTATATATTATATTATTCTATATATGCTCAAGATTCATTTAGTGCCTAAAAAACATGACATAGTTATAGACATAATTGTGATCCATAGATCAATTTGATTAGTTGAATGATAGATAGAATTATGCTCGGATCAATTAAAGTCAAACTGATAAACCTATTGTTAATTACACTATTAAACTCGATAAGTCACACACTTTAATCTTTAATAGGAATCCTAACTCCTTTTTAGCGACTTTAAGATTAATGTGTTCCTCAATGGTTCTTGTAATAATCAAGGGGATTAATTATTTCTAAAGGTCAGATAATTCTAGCTAAAAGACTTTTAAGAAAGCTTAGGATATATATAAGTCTACTTAAGCTTATTAAAGGGGTTAACTAGTTTTAGTTAGGCTTAGCCCTAAAATTTTAATTAATTGTTTATTTAAATTATTAAATTTTGGACCTTGATATATAATGATATAAATATAGCTAAAATCATTATATAGCCCAAATAATTGATCAAATATAATTTTTTATTTAATATGCTAACTAGAATTTTATGAACTTAGATTATAGTGTGTGTATGATTTAGTGCCTAGAGGAAAAAGTTTGTGTCCTAGGAATTTTAAGATACCACCCAAAGGTTGAGCTATTTGTTTTTTTTTTTTTTGTTAATAAAGTATGGTACTATTAATCGTGTGTTATTGTTATACACATGATATATAATTATTAAAATGTATTATTGTTAGGTACTTTGAAAGTACAATAAATCAAAATAGATATATTATATCAGTCGAAGGACTGTTAAAGCAACTAACGTAAATTATATACATTGAATCTCGAAAACTCTGAATCACAAGATGTCAAATTATAATTATCGCTCAAATATTAAAATTAATTTCTTTTTCAGTTCGATTAACAGTTGGTAATTTACATTAAAATTTTTACGGTTTCGTCCTAAACAAATTTGATTTTGAATTTGACCCATAAATTAATTATTACTTACCCACATATTGACTTTTTGAGATAAAGATAAACTTATAAATATATAGATATATACTATGATGGCAAAAAGGAAAACTTTTTAAGAACATTCCATATGTAGTTTTTCTTCAAATTAACATTAAAATTTTTTTATAAAAAGGGGGTGTATAAGTATAATGTGACCATGTTTGCCTAGTCTTTAAATGGCAAGAAATTTTTTATTTGGAAAATTAAAATATACCTTATCTAGCTTACTTAAGTCCCAATAACCTAGTCACTAATATGATAAAAAGGTAACATGTATTTTAAGAATTTATCTTCCCACATGATGGGTCACATATTCATAAAAGGAAAATTTTGAAAACTATATATTATAAAATTTTATCTTGGATAATATGTATATATTAGGAAATTATTTTGAGGATAAGCAAGTTTTTATTGGAGGGAGAGGGTGAATTTTTCAATTTTAATGGGGGTGATGATATATAT